ACGGAAAGTGACTGACAGCGAAGAAGCGCAGCTGTTTAATTCAGAAACAGAGGATGATGACTTTAATGAGTTTGATTAATACTTTGTAATAAATACATGAATAAAGCACAATCATACTCAGTTTTGCTCCCGTTCTATTTTTAAATACGCAGTAGAGGTATTTAAATGTAGTAGAGGATATGTACCTGTATATAAAACCTGCACCCTATAGTCCGTCCTTATGTGCGTGTTAAATAGGTGGAAACCGGCCATTTTTTTCCTTTCTTTCATTGTATTCCATTTCATTTCTATTGTACTTTTTTATCTTTACTTATTATTTTCTATCTCATTTTTGTTATTTCCATTGGTGCTGCTTATTTAATTACTAACTACATTTATGTTTGTAAGTTCCTTATTTTTAACCGTGTGACCTGCTTTACTTGTAAGCCTAACTTGTTGTATATATTTTCAAAGTTTTGTTCTTTTTTAAGTAGCGTATAGAGCAGCAGCCTGAATGTGGGCTTGGATGTATATGTCTGTGCAAGTTGCAAAAATTAAAATAAAAATTAAGCGAAAAAAACAAAACAAAAGCTAACGGGATAAACAGGTTTTGACTATGGGTATGTTGGTCTGACCGGGTATGCTGTGCAGGTGCGTAGCCGTAGGTGGAGCAATCTACCTGGGTCAATCTGGTAGTTTGCATATTAGGAGGAGATCTAAACATGGACGTCGCTTCCAAAGATTAAGAAAAACACAAAAAGCCAGAAAACTGATGTCAAACCAGCAGGTTCGGATTTGATGCTCTATAAAACCTGGAACTCAACGCTATTGCTGACATTTTGAAATAGAAAAAGCTTCCTGGATGGGAGGCGAAACGTCTTCCAACTTGGAAACAAAGTCCAGTGGATTGTTTTTTTTTTGAGAATCCTCACCAGCAAAAAAAAACAAACAGAATAGACAGAATAAAATAAAATGTTTTTACATATTTACCAACCCTCTCCTGCATCAATGTGAAACAACCCTTTTATGATCAAGTTTAGCTGCGTTATCCCGAGCTAAGAGGGGCTAACGTTTAAAAGGCAGGAAGAATTTACTGTGGGCACCTTGGCGGGTTCATCTTTGACGCTCGCTGTAGACGTGGAGGAAATCAGCGCCTGTTCGTACTCCTCGTCCACCGGCTCGTCCTTCACTTTGGCCAAAGGAGGCGAAGGAGATGACTTCATCTCTTCAGTCATCCTCACCTGTTTCAGAAACAAAAGCAGAAACATCTGCACTGAGGCTGAGAAGGTCAAACTTCACGATTTAGAAGAAAATTATGTAAAATCTGAGAAGCGTTAGCAAGTGGAATGTGTTAGAAACGGAGGGGCTACTTACCGACTCCAATCTGGGGATTGATAACTTCACCACTTTCATCCCGTTTACCACCGATGCAGGAGAGGAGCTGTCTCTGCCTACAAACCCAACAGTTGTTAGAAGAGGAAACAAAATCAGCCTGAAGAAGTTCAGATTTAAAAACTGTTCCGTCTTTTTTGATAAGACATCACCTGTGCTTCCCGCCGCTTCAGAAGACGGAGATGAACTCGACTGCATCAAATCCGAAGCTGTTGGTTTGACATCAGCTTCCTCCTCCTCAGCAGAGTTTTCCTCTTCCAGGGTTGAAGCTAGGAGGGGAAGTCAGAGCAGAGAGATCAATGTGCTGCTGGAGC